TGGCAACCGTTCCACTATTCACCCGCTTGGCTCTTTATTTTTTATATTTTTTATTTTTTTTTTGTTAAATATGAAATTGAGCTTTATTTTATGTCACGACTTCGAGTGTCCCGTCGGCCCTCGATAAGCGAGCCGAGCATTAGCGAAAGTACTTTCAAGAAAACACGAGACGAGAAGAAGACATTTGTGGCGTCGATTTATTATTTCGAGGTCCCGATCATTTATTTTGAGTAGCCCGAATTCGAGAGTGCATATGAGTAAAATAAATGAAAAAGCTATTTACGGTGGTCCCGCAAGGTCGCGTATGACTTCGGTTTACCGAGAATCGAGTTGGGACGTGTAGATGATTCAGGCACTATGTCATGCGGGACATTTGTCGAGTATTTTGGACCTCCGAGCATTTAATTAGAGAAGCTCGAATTCCCGAGTGAGTAGTAGTAAAATGAGCTAAAATGTCGGGGCCGAGCGTTCAAGACTTCGCTTTTCTCGATTCTTTCAGTTTTTCATCTAGTAGAGAGGAGATATAAATTTTCACTATTATTTTAGTTAATTCCGAGATTCTTTTTAGTATAACTTTTAGTATTTTCTGAGTTAAATAAGTTCAATTATTGATAGTTATTAATAAATTTTAGTATTTATTAATTAATCTTATTAAGGACATCACATCACATTACTTTAATGAAAAATTGAATACTTTTATTAAAATTAATATGATAGTATATTAATTAGTACTTAAATTTACATAAATAAATATTTCAAACAAACAAGTTCAATTACAAAATAAGGATAAACATTCAACTCACTTAAAATTAGCGTATAAACACTAAAATTAAAATCACAACATAAAAATAAACTAAAACAAAGCTCACACATACTACAACAACAATAATTAATACGAAACATAAAAATAAAAATTAAAAAAAGGATTATAGACGATTTCATAGACTTAATTGTCACCATAATAATCATTCAAATTTCCTCCGCATTGCCCGATGTCGTCGAGAAATCCAAATTGACCCGTGTTAGATGATGGTTGGGTTGCTTGAGATTGTTGTTGCTCAATTTCTCTTTCTTGTAAAATTTGCATTTATTTTTGCTCCCAATGTCGAAGTATCATGGGATTCGTAAGAGAATTCAAATCTATCATCAAAATTCTATCTTCATCCCTCTTTTTCTGCAACTCGATTTGTTGTTTCTGCAATTGAAGCTGGACATTTTGACGTTCATCGGCTTTCTGCAACAAATCAACAATAGTATCACTTATAGCATTTAGAGTTTGAAAATATTGGCAAAATTGGTCTTCATTTTTCTTCTTCAATTTTGCTTTCTTTGCTCCCATTGGACGTTGAGAGGATGTTCCACCAACACCATCGTCACTTTGTTGAGGACTAAAAGACGACAATCCTGGAGACTCTGGTGTTGGTTGTCCATCATATGGAACGTCGGACACGGAAGAGTCATTGAGTGTATCGAAATCCCGACGACGAGATCGTGGTTGGGACACATTATCATCAAATTTTCCAAACTCTTTGAATAGTCGGAACACATGATGAAACTTGAAGCCATCTTTATATTTTGGGTCTTGTTCAAACAATCGTTCGACTTGCTCAATTTACAAACAAAAAGATATATAATTGTAATTATACTTATAAAACAAGCAAATAAAATGAACCGAAATTGAACTTAAAACAATTTACTCACCCTATCTTGGATTTGTGTCCCACTAGGATTGCGCTATTCGATTTGCTTCAAGCATCCATTAAACCTCCGACAATGAGTTTCCATGAGACGGTAACGAGAGTCAAGGGACCTTACAGAGCGTTCTGGTAAATCTTTGTGTTTCTGGAAATTGTATTCATCATATATTTTTTTCCAAAAGGTTGAAGAACTTTGATCATTTGACGATATTAGATTTTGTGAAACACTTATGTAGCATCTGACAATTAAGACATCTTCCAGTTTGGAGCATTTTTGCCTTTTTGAAGAAGACATTTTGAAGAAAATAAGATATTGAAGAAGAGTGGGAACAATAAGACTACAATAATGGAATAAGAAATGGATATGTGTGTAGTTGCTTCTTGAAGTTTGATGTATAAATAGATAAACGAATTCACATGCACACAAGTATAATTGTACCATTTGTCATACTATGCAAAAGAATCCTATGCAAATTAATTTTTTATTCATTTGTCATCCCATGCTTCTTGAATACTATATCCTATGAAAAGAATTCTATGCTTCTTGAAGACTATGTTTCTTGAAGACTACACCCTATGCAAAGAATCTAATGATGGAGAAGACTATGCTTCTTGAAGACCACACCCTTATGCAAAGAATCATATGCTTCTTGAAAACTATGCTTCTTGAAAACTACACCTTATGCAAAGAATCCTATGCTTCTTGAAGACTACACCCTTTGGTTGGTCAAAGAATCCTATGCGTCTTGAAGACTACACCCTATGGTTGGTCATTGTGTTGGTCAAATAATCTTATGCTTCTTGAAGACTACACCCATTTGTCATTGTAAAGAAATAAAGTCTCACATGGGCTTGTCTGAAAACGAATCCAATGAAGAAAATATTTATTTATATTGTTCATTCATTCATCTATATAAACATGAAACTATACATCATACCATCCAAGCTACATATTACATTCATTGTCAAATATTTCTATAATATTGCCCTCTAATATCATTCACAATGAATTATCTTCCTCCCTATAATTATGATTCGGATGAGGAAAATGCAAATTCTTCATTACCTCTTTTTGGTAACACTTTGGAATCAACCACCACTCATATATTGCAAATCAACAATTTTTTTATGGCACATGCTATCTCTGCGCAAAATAGCCGACCAACTTGGGGAGGTTCTGTTCCAGGACATAGAGTAGTCCATCGTGATCGGGAGGAGGCTCATCGCACTTTGTTTCGAGATTATTTTAGTAGTAATCCAACCTACGATGAAGATACATTTCGTCGAAGGTTTCGGATTTCTATTCATAATTTCAAGCTTGTTATGCAAGCATTGGAAAATCATGATATTTTTTTCCAACAACGTCCGGATGGTCTTGGTCGACTCGGATTGTCAACATATACAAAAGGAACAGCGGCGCTTCGTCAGTTGGCCTATAAAACCCTGCAGATGGTGTCGACAAATATCTTAAGATTGATGAGTCAACGACAAATGAATGCGTGAAGAGATTCTGTCGTGGAGTCGTTGAAGTTTTCGGAGCACAATATCTGAGATCACCAAATCACGATGATATCGCTAGATTGCTTCATATTGGTGAACAACGTGGTTTTCCAGGTATGTTAGGTAGCTTGGACTGCATGCACTGGGAATGGGAGAATTGCCCTAAGGCATGGGCTGGTCAATACTCTGGACGTTCCGGAAAACCAACAATCATTTTAGAAGTTGTGGCAGATTATGATCTATGGATATGGCACGCATATTTTGGTATGCCAGGTGCCAATAATGACATTAATGTGCTGGAAGCATCACCTCTAATGTCAAATCTTGCTGAAGGTATCGCTCCACGGGCTAATTATACCATTCAAGGCAAACAATTTAATATGGGTTATTATTTAGCAGATGGTATATATCCAAAATGGTCCACTATTGTTCAGTCATTTGTTGCACCATCAAATCCAACGGAGGGATACTTTAAAATGAGACAAGAGGCATGTAGAAAAGATGTTGAGCGTGCATTTGGAGTTCTGCAA